GAATTCGAAAAAATTTAGAAATCATGACAAAAATTAAATTCTTACGTCAGTTCGCATCACAAAATTAACATGCATTATTTTCGGCTATATCATCATTTTCACAGGTTAAAATGTGTCACCTCCTTTGACGCGCATGACGCTATCAAGGATGTGGCACAATTATTTTTTTAATAAATTTTTGACGCATTCTGAACGATTACGATTCGCAAGCTGTGAATTGCTCATACCTTCTTGCTTGAGTAAAGCCCGCTGCACCCAACGGATAATGGTACTTTGGTCTAGGAGGAGGTGGCTTATAGAATTCGGCATTTAATGTGCCCAAGCGAGGCGTTGTAGCACCAAATGATGGTCGTGCAGTGCTCAATATTAGCGATGTATCCAGCCAATCTTCTCCAGTGTTTTGTTGAATTTGACCAAAATATGAGAGCTAAAAAAATATCTGCATATACCAAGAATAAATAACAGGGCAGCCTGGACGTAGTAAAATCGTGATACCTTCAAGGTATTTGTTGCGCTCTGCACACGTATCTCGTAAGAAGGGCGCCAGGAAGCGGAAGGCACTTGATAGCTTACATCCAGTTCAACATCGCCACCACTGTTGCTCTCAAGAAGCAAGCAGATGCTTCTGCAATTGGTCGTAGAAAATTGTTTAGTCCCCAAATATGTTGTACTTCATGCTCCAGTTTAATGTTCCTAGGAATCAAAGCAGCAGCAATGGATGTTGTTGAATTTCAAGCTGCTTAAACACACAGCATCGTTGAAGTGCAAGAGCACTTTTGCTAACGTTTGTTTTTTGTAGACCCTCTATTTTTGCTAAAAATTATATTCTCGTTTCTTTTCTTGTACTTTAATCAGCTGTGCCTCATAACATCTCTCTCCAGCTACGCAGAAGGCGCCTTTTCCAGTGTTGCTTTGACCAATGCTGCTTTGACTGCTGGTCAGCTACTGCTGATTCTGACATTCATTTCGTCTCTTTAAAGGATTGTAAACTCAAGGTTATCCCGACCGAAGTCACTTTGGGAAGGGTATCTCCAGAATACTGTAAGAGATATCTAAAAACTGTGTACGGAATTTCCAGATATTGTACGGGATAGGATTGGGACCTGCATGTGTGCATTACAGGACTCTTAAGTACTGGTTTCGAGATGTCGTTCCCTCACTTGCTGTGCGCTGAAGCATCATTATCTCGTCCCTAAGGCTGATACTTTTAGACCGGCTGAAGTATTTTACTGAGAGCTTTTCAACCTTTTTTTTTGTTTGAATAGATAGCTTAGCGCTAAATATTGCATCTTTTCGATGTTCTTTGTTACTCTCTCGTAGCACCTTCATTTCATATACAGACTTTTACACGTTTCTCCAGACTTAATTCTGTCTGGCATTTAAGCTTACTTTTGCTTTCCTTTTCATCCGAAGTTACAGTTTTGACGTCGCCTAGTAATAAAAGAGAAGGGTTTTGTCTTAGACTTTTTGGATAAGTGGCTAATACTGGTTGGCGCACTTTCGTGGTTTTTTCCAAACTTTGATACTCTTTTTGCCGTGACTTCATGTTAAGTGCATATTTTAAAAAAGTTTCCAAACTTGTTTGTGAAATGAAAGAACGCAAAAAGATATGAGCAAAAACAAACTGGTACATCTCTCGCACGCAAACAAAGATATGCTTCTTTGAGAAGAACTTTTACAGCTATCAATGGAAACGGGGCGGAAAGTGAGATGGTACCAATTTACCTGACATGTGTTTTGTGGTGCTGCGTTTGATTAATTTGTTCCTCAGTTTTCCTGATTTCCTCATCGAGTTGGCGCAAATCCTCATCCAGCTGGCGTATCTTTGTCAGTGCTACGGCATGTCCTTGCTCATGATAGCTGACCAATTTTGATATATTTTCAAGTATTTCACCAATGGCCACTGAATGTCCACTTGCACCGTCCTCACATTTGACCATCGCTTTGCCACTCTGCAAATTTATTATTTATTGTGCTTTTTCAAAAAGGAATTGTTAAATTTATGTTGGTTCCAAATTTCTTTTCTGCCAGTTTTCAGGATTTTTTGGATTTTTGATCCTCAGCTGCACGTCCCTAGCCTGTGTTCATGCCTTCATTATAGCGTGCATGGGCCATCTGTCCTGATGTCATTGAGAGACCGTTTCCCTCACAACTCACTAAAATGCGACTTCAGCAAGCCAGTAAACTGCATTTTGTTCTCACTGATAATATCTTAGCAACCTTTCGTCATTCAGAATCTGATGGACTGTACTGCAGTGAAGATCGAGCAACTTAGTATTAAAAAATTCAAAATTTCTATTGTTCGTTTGCTTTAAAGCGTATGAAAATACAGCACTTAAACTGGTATCCTGGCCTACCTTTTCAATAATGCTATCCAGCACAGAGATGCTTTTTTCAGCAATCTTTTTTTGATCCTGCATGTTTTTCTGCTTCTCTTCCAGTTTTTTCAAACTATTTCTTAACTCTTGTACCTGTAAAATCATTTGAATAACATCAAGTAAACGGAAAATTTTGATTTAATGAAAAACAGTAATACATATTGAAAATCTGCTTTTTGTTCCAGTGAGCGACGACAAAACAACAGCCCTGTCAGGGAAACACTTCATCGGGTAGAAAACCGAAAAATCCTTTTTGTACACGTTTATGCTTAGAGGCCAAAGTACTCGGGAAATTAGCTGGGGCGGCAGTACGTGCCTAAATCAATCACCTGCAGGTATGCTACTGATAGCTCCTCCGTTTGAGGGCTGATTACAGTTAAGTTTGTGGCGAGTTTCATTTCTTGGCACCAGTTTACCATCGAAACGAGTGAACGAATCGTAGAAGGATTTGTTATTTCACTGACTAGTTCGGAGTATGGCCGTTATCCCAATGTCAAATAGCGGCAACTATCCTGGTAGGTAGTAGAGTTAGCGATTCTGGAAAAAAACAGTACGGAGAAGTGAGTAAAGGGAAGCTAGGACTAATTAAACGGGCTATGCTCGATTCAAAGAAACAAAAAATTGCCAGAAGCATTAAAATCTCGGAAAAACTTCGTGATTGAACAGGTTTCGGAATAAAAGTGTTGCTTACCCGAGGTGCAGAAGATTCATCAGGTAGTGTTGGCACCTCTTTGAGCTGAACCTCATGAATGG